TGTGCTGCACGGAACCCACTTTAACATACGCGCAAAGACACAGAGCAGGGTTTAAAGGAAAGGGGATGGGGAACGAGTATACAGTGCTTACGAGCACTACTCGGAACGTCCGTCCGGGGGGTAGAAAAGCTGAGAGGAGCTGCCACTGAACCTCAAACAGGTGAGGAGCAGCAGGGAGGAAGGGGACGGCTGGGTGCAGGTGGAGTGGACAAGAGGGCAGCTTCTCCAACGGAGGACGTGGGGCAGTGTCTCTAGCCGCCGACGCAATCTGACAACAGAGCACCCAAACACGCAGAGATGCATGCAGAAACAGGGGTTCCAGCTGCTCGTTTCTTGGGTTTTAATTTATTAGAGACAGGGCTCGAACCGCGCTGCTGCCCAGGCTGGAGATACGTCGGCGTTGATCATCATAGCGTCACTGCATTTGCCCATAATTTCCGTGTGAGGGGCCCGCTGTGTGTGTGTGTGGTTTGCCCTCCTCCCGGTGGCCCGGCTCCAAGGGCGTGTGTTACCGGAGGCCCAAAGTCCGTCGGTTAGAGGCTGGAGGACTGCGACACCCGGAGCAGTAAGACTGACAGATCCAGCGAAGGCAGAAAACCCGTAGAGGACACGGCTGACCGAGCGCAGGCACCATCAGGCACTCCCGGTCCTAGCCTGCCACTCAGAGCCGGTGCATCCGCCACCAGCCACAGGCACGCTCGCACTGTCGCAGCTCACACGGGCACGGCTCGCCGAAGACGGGACGAACATGCCGGGCGCACAGAGCAAGTGCCCAGCGTGTTGGCTACAAGGACTCACATCAGACCACGCTGGGTCCTGCGTGTGGTTTCTCCGACTACAGTGCATTGTGGTGAGAATGTAAAAAGAAAAACCTCTAAAAAAAATCCCTAAGCTCATTAGAACTAACACTATGCGTTATAAAAAGAAAAAAAAACTCTGAATAAGCCAAAGATAAAATCGCAAGAAAAAATTAGAAAGGTATGTTGAACTAATGAAAATAAAAGAACCAAGAACCGGCCGCCGCGGTGGCCCCTGTACCTACTCGTCTGGGACTGACGGCAGTGACTCCGAGTCAGAGGTTCTAAACCAGCTGATCAAGATAACCCCCGCCCCAGTCGTCCTACTGATAAATGTGAGAAAAGAAATATGGTCCAACTATATATGTTAGAAAAAAGTTGTAGCCGGGCATGGTGGCGCCACGCCTGTAGTTGTCCAGCCTACTAGGGAGGCTGAAGTGTCGAGGATCTCTGAGCCCCAGGAGGATTGAGGTTTGCTGGTGAGCCTACTGACGGCCACGGCACTCACTCTAGCCTGGGCAACAAACGCGGACTCTGCTCTCAAAGAATAAATAAATAATAATAGAAAATAAAAACAGAACCTATCCAAATATGCATGATGCCAGCCAAACGCGCAGGCACTCGAGAACTGACAGCGCACTGAACAGCTTCCTAAGAAGTTTCACGCTGAGTGACCTCAGCTTCTACCTCAAGAAAACACAAAAAAGAACACGCACAAATTAACCCAAACGGCTATGCTAATTAAGGAAATGTGTGGTGGTGGTGTGTGGTGGCGAGATTAGGGCTCGGTCCTACGCCGGTTGCGCTCGCACCGCCTGCTGGCGTTCCAATCCTCAGCCGACCTCTGGGGAGGCTGCAGGTGGGGAGGATCGCTTGAACTTCAGAAGTTCAGAGACCAGCGCGCTGAGACAAGAGCAAGACCCCGTCTCTACTAAAATAGGAAAGAGCACTGATACTTAATGGCCCAAACTAAAAACACGCATAGGAAAAAAATTACGGGCATGGTGCGGTGCGGATGCTGGGGTAGTCCCAGCTGCTCGGAGCTGAGGCAGAGGATTGCTTGAGCCCCAGGAGTTTGAGGTCTCGCTGGTGAGGCGTAGGCTGACGTCACCGGCAGTCATCTGCCTGGGCGAACAAAGTGCAGACTTCCTTTCCTCACAAGAAAAAAAAAGGAAATCACCAATGAAATAAAAATAGAAAAAAGGAGGAAAAGTCATAAAACCAAATTTGGGCACGAGTAATCAGAGTAAGATATTGATAAGCCTCTACCCACACTCTGGAGGAGAGAGGACACACGTTTCCACGCAAGGAAGGACAGGACAGCACCGTATGTGCCACGGTGATGCCAGGACCGCGCGGGAGTAGGCCGCCCGCATAATCCAAAACGAGTCGCGGGCTGGGAGAGATCGCGAAAACTCCGGTGAAAGCCACAATGCCCTGAAAGACACAAACTACCAGCGTGCATTCGAGAAGCAGATCACAGGAACAGCCCTGTATCTCTTACAGAAATTGAATTTATGGTTGAGAACCTTCCCATGCAGAAAACCCAAGCGCAGATGGTGTCACAGGTGAATCTGCAAACATAGGGGCGACACTAACAAGCTACATGCCTCAACAAGAACTGAAGACGGAGGGCCGCACCCTCCCAGCGCGCCACGCAGTCGGGGGCGGCACTCATCTGGATCAAGCAAGTCCGAAGCCGCGCAGGGAGCCGGGCACGGTGGCCTGGTACGCCTGTGCTTCCAGCGACTCTCGTGGGAAGGCTGAGGCGGGTGGATTGCTCCGAGCGTCAGGAGTTCGAAAACCAGGCCTGAGCAAGAGGCGAGAACGCGCGTCCTCCTTTACTCATAACAATATGAAAGAAATTAGATTGGCCAATGAATAGTATATGAAAAATTAGGCCCGGGGGCGATGGTGCGCGCATGCCTGCATATGTCCCAGCTACTTGGGAGGCTGATGGCAGCAGGATTCGATTGACGCCAGGAGTTTAGGTTGCTGTGAGCTAGTGCGACGCCACAGCCACTCACTCTAGCCTGGGCAACAGCAAGACTCTGTTTCGAAAAAAGAAAAAAAAATCCAGGCAGGGATGTGAGCCTCCCTCAAGACCCAGGGCTCCGCACCTTTTCCTCGTAGTTGGGGAGCTTGTCCCTGGTGATAGTGATGATGTCCATCCACGAGTAGTTTCTCTCCCTCCGAATCTTTTCTAACTCCGGGTCGTTCTCGTACTTGTCGGCGTCCAGCTACAGGAGTGCGAACGACAGGAGGAGGCCACGTTAACATCTCTTTCTGGGTCTCCAGTACTACGCTCCAAATGTACCATTTATCCCCTTGTCACCCCAAACTCGTCCTCCTCCACCTCCTGTCCACTTCCTTCGATGGACATCCCAGGCTCCAGACACCAGCTACACGTAACGTAGTTCTGTTTGGTTTCTACCTCCCTTCCCTGATGCAGTCCATCCTGGGGGACTCTCTCATAGTTTGAGGTGACATTCTCATTGCCTCAAGCCTGTCCAACCTGTCCCCGGGCCCCTCTCTGTGTCCTGTTTCTCTGCCACCATCCCCCTCGGTGGGTCTTATCGATCCTCTATGGCAGGGGTCCCCAACCTTTTTGGCACCAGGGACCAGTTTTACGGGAGACAACTCTTCCACGGACAAGGGATAAGGAGTGGATGGTTTGGGGATGACTCGAGTGCATTACATTCATTGTGCACATTATTCCTATTAGTATTACTTTGTAATGTATAGTGAAATCACTATATAACCCATCATAATGCAGAATCCGTGGGAGCCCTGAGCTTGTTTTCCTGCAAGTAGACGGTCCCACCTGGGGGTGATGGCGGCAGCGACTGATCTGACAGGAGGCAGGGCTCAGGTGGCGATGGGAGTGATGGGGAAGGGCTGTGCGTACAGGCGAAGCTTCAGTGGCTCACCGCCCCCCTCCTGGCCCTGCTCACCTCCTGCTGTGTGGCCCGGTGGTTCCTAACAGGCCACTGACCAGTACCACAGCTTTATGGTGTAAACTAAAATAAAATTTTAAGGCTCACCCCCACGAGCTGACTGAATGTACCCCCTCATGGCCAAAGGAATATCCTAAAATTAAATTGTCTACCAGGAGGAAGGTCAGACCTCATCATGCCCCCCTCCCTTCTTGGGGACATCCTTTGTAACCCATTAACAGGCCAAAGGGTGTGCAAGACACACCTGCAGGTCTTCAATTTACACAGCAAATCTATGTCTGGTGGCTTATCTCTGATAAACAGCTCCTTATGTTGAAACATTCCAAGCTTCTAGACAAAGCTTCATGTCCTTAACCAATGACAAGCCAAAGAGTCTTTAAACCCACCTATAACCTGTAAGCCCCCCCCCCTCAAGATGTTCCACCTTTTTGGGCCAAACCAGTGTATGCCTCCCACGTATTGATTTATGACTTCACCTGTAACTCCTGTCTCCCTGAAATGTATAAAACCAAACTATGACCCAGCCACAGTGAGTCCACTTGCCCGAGGCCTCTTGGCAGTGGCTCCAGGTCACGGCCCTCAAATTTGGCTCAGAATACATCTCTGTAAAATTATTTTACAGAGTTTGGCTTTTTTCCGTTGACAATGGCATATCTTTGGTCAGTTTGTTGCCCTGGGCCAAAATGTCTCACACCCTCACAGCCTATAAATATTAATAAAACTCAAGTTCAAAAGCAAGTTCATAGCCTTCTATGATCTGGCCTCAGGTGACTTTTCTACTTCTATCTGTCCCTAGTCCCCTATTTTTAAAGAAATTTACATTCTAACCCAACTAGGATGATTCACTGCTCTTGCAGACATCTAACCCTCACACTCCCACACCCTTACTCTCAACAGCTTTCTATGCCTGAAATGCCCACTCAACACTTTCACTTATTCCAGTCCTTTCTGTTCCTTAAGGCTTGGTTTTAATGCTCCCTTCTTCATGAAGCGCTTCCCTAGAGCCCCAGAGAGAATAAATCTGAGCTTCTAGTTAAAATTACTGGCAATGAATTTAGCTTTTTTTTTTTTTTTGGAGACAGAGTCCTCACTTTGTTGCCCAAGGCAGATAAGAGTGAGTCTGTGGCGTACACGCTAACTCACACAACTCAAATAAGCTCAAAAAAATCCACACGCAAACTCAGCCACAACCAAATAGTGGACATAGCACGACCACCATCCGCAATATATATATGTTAGTTAGGCAATTAATTTATTTCTTTTATAGTAAAGACAGGGTCTCACTCTGCCTCAGGCTGGTTTGGATCCTCTGACCTCGAGCAATCCACCTGCCTTGGCCTCCCATTGAGCTAGGATTACAGGCATGAGCCACCACGCCCGGCAAGCATACCTTTTGTTTAGCAATAAAATGCACATTTTATCACCACTACTGAACAAAGCTCTAGTTATCAATATATTATTTTCTACAAAGATGACTCCAAAAATGAGCAAATCCACTGCATGACATGTGTAGCACTATTTGCTATGGTCTGAATGTGTCTCCCCACCAAACCCCATCCATGTGTTTTGTTTTGTTTTTGAGACAAGAGTCTCACTCTGTTGCCCAGGCTAGAGGTGCCAATGCCAGCAATAGTCACAGGACACTCAAACTCTAAGGCTCAAGCCGATCCTTCTGTCAGCCCCGAGTACTGGGGAAACTACAGGCATGTGCCACCACGCCCGGCTATATATGTTGAAACTCAACACCAGTGTGATAGTATTCTGAAGGGGGCCTTTAGGAGGTGATTAAGTCACGAGGGCCAATCCCTCACTTATGGGATTTGTGGCCTTATAAGAGAGGTGCAAGGGAGTAGCTCGCCCCTTCTGCCATGTGAGGACACAGCAAGGAAGCAGCCGTCTAGGAGGAACGGGCCCTCACCATTCACTGAATCCACCCGCACCTTCATCTTGGGCCTCCCACCTCTAGAACTGTAAGAAATAAATTTGTTGTTTACAAGTTACCCAGTCTAAGGAACTTGTGTTACAGCAGCAGGAACAGACAGCAACACTATTCCAAACTAAAACCATCTTACTTCCAACTGTGTGTGTGTATGAGAAACAGTCACTCTGCTATGTCGCTAATAACAGATAAGCCAAGGTGCTGCCCTCTGTCCCCACTGTTAAACACAATCTATGGGAGGTGCCCTGTTCTGCACCAAGCTCCTGCACTGGGCCCAGCTGACCAGACCAAACGGAACAAATATGGAGTCGCTCATGCCAAATGCTGCACAGTCCAACTGACACTTTAACACAACAGGGAGATCCCCAAACAGACCAGATTTTCCTGAGAACAGGAGATTCCAGTCTACCTGAGTCAGGGCAACAAGGAAATCCCTTCTGCTTTAATCCTTACCAGAAAAAGTAACCTGAACTGTTGAAGTAACTTGATGTTAACCAATCAGCATTTTTTCCTATTGTTCAGTTTCTTTGGGGTCTTTTGTTCTTTTTTGTGGTTCTTTGTTCCCACCCTACAAAACTCGCTGTTCTGCCACTGCCTAGTGTAGCTTTCGTTTTATTTAGTAGAATAGAGGCTGCCAAGATTCATGAACTGAGAATAAAAGCCAAGTAGATCTTTAATTAAATTTGTTGTGATCTTGTCTTTTGACACCACTGGTTTAGAATGGTTATTAAGAAAGCATGTGGTCGGGCATGGTGGCTCACACCTATAATCCTAGCACTCTGGGAGGCCGAGGCAGGTGGATTACTCGAGGTCAGGAGTTCGAAACCAGCCTGAGCAAGAGTGGAGACCCTGTCTCTACTTAAATAGAAGAAATTAATTGGCCAACTAATATATTATAGTTATAATTAGCCGGGCATGGTGGCACATGCCTGTAGTCCCAGCTATTCAGGAGGCTGAGGCAGAGAATGGCT